CCTTTGTAAGTAACCTCCTATATCTCTCGGGGAGTTTTAAAAATAATTCTTCTTTGTCTTTCATAATCTTAAATTTCACTGTGTCTAGGAGAGTGTGTGTATGTGTATGTTTCTCTTATCCTGTTCAGCATACTGTGATCCCTTTAAATCCGAAGTCATCTGTCTAAATCTGAGTAATTCTTACTCATTATTTAAGTATTCCCTCCTAATGACTGTATTCTCTTCTTATGAGGCTACTATTAGATGAGTTTTGACATTTATATGTCTCTCATCCCTATTAATGAATGTTTCTTTCATTCATTCCATCGCTATCCATTCCTGATTACTTTTTTTTTTTTTTTGAGACAGTCTTACTCTCATCCTGCCTAGAGTACATTGGCATCAACATAACTCACAGCAACCTCAAACTCCTGGGCTCAAGTGATCCTCCTGCCTCAGCCTCCCGAGTAGCTGGGACTACAGGTGTGCACCACCACACCTGGATAATTTTTTTCTGTTTTTAGTAGAGATGGGGTCTTCCTCCTGCTCAGGCTGGTCTCGAACTCCTGACCTCAAGCGATCCTCCCGCCTCAGCCTCCCAGAGTGCTAGGATTACAGGTGTAAGCCACCATGCCCGGCCACTTTTATATTAGTTCTTTAGACTCTTTTCTTCAGCCCAGAAATTGATTTTTCAGCTATATCCATTTTAATATCCAACATATTCCATTGAATTATTTATTTAAGCCATTAATATTTTTAATATGCAATATCTGCAATAGTTCTTCTATGTAACTGTTTGTTCTTGGGAAGATGTATAAACCTGGATGCTCTGTGTGAGTTGAAGGGTTTGGGGATTGGTATGTCTTGGGGTAGAGAGCCTCTAGAGCTGAGCTGAACCCATTCTCCTTCCCCTTCTCTAGCGTATGACAACTCCCTAGGGAAGGTTCCAGGACTTCTGCCTTAGCCACCAGGCCGGAGCATGGAAGAGGTCTAGGAGTGAGTGATATCTGTTGCAATTGCCTGTCCCAGAGGGCAAAGGGAGGGGTAGGAAAGGAATTCTCAGTTACTGGCCAGCTCTGATGGGACTGCACTTTTTCTATGAGCTTTCCAACCCTACCACACCTTAATGTTACCATGTCACCTTGGGCTGCCACTGAGCCAGTTCTGCCAAGTTTCTGCCTTGTAGTGTTTACAAGACAGGTAATGAGCCTTCCAGAAAACATGAGGAGAGGAAAGAATGCAATTTAGAAAGCTCCAACTCAACTGATCCTCCATCTGAGGTGTCTGACCTTTTCCCACTCTAGACCATCTCATCTCCCAATGAGGACCAAACCATCAAGAGTTTTGTTGCTGGGAACTATTCGGAAGTCCAACTACCTCCTCACCTCTTTTGTGACAGGGTGGGTTTGGGAGAGAAGCCAACAGCTATTTCTAGTTTACCATCTTCATCTGGAACCAGATAAGCCTTTACATTTTAATAGTCATTTCAAGTCATTACTAACAATAACTATGTATATATATATATACACATATATATATATATATATATATGGCATTTACCATGTCACAGGTGCTATTCTAAGTGCTTTACCTGTATTAACTCATTTAATCATAGCAATCAAAGGAATTAGATACTGTAGTGATCCCCAGTTTACTCTTGAGTAGACTGGGACACAGAAAGGTTATGTGACTTACACAAGGTCACACAGCTGGTAAGATGAAAAGCCAGAACTTGGGCCATCTAGCCCCAGAGTTTGCACTCCAAAATGCTGGCGCATTTAACTATTCTACCATTCTACCATTAATTAGCATCTATATCCATCCCTTGAACAACAAAAGAGCTTACTTCTCTTATCTTTCTTGTCCCTCCTCCCATCTTCCATATTTATATTATCTGGAATTTTAGTTCAAGACTATAATTTTTAAAATTTACAATCAAAACTTATTTAAATTTTTCAATAAATTTCGTCAATTTTGCCCTCACCATTGCTTATAGGAATGTCCTGCTTCCTCTTAAATCTTTTTTTCTTATAGGGCTGCATACCCTAATAATTATTTCAGAAACGGTATGTGTGTCATGAACTTTCTAAAATATTTTGGTCCTCATTTGGATTATCCTGGCTGGATATAGAAATCTAGATTCAGTCATTTCTTATCAGCTCTTTGAAGAACTTCTCCAGTATAGTCTCTCTTTTCTCTCTGGGACCTTTCAGGATTTTACCTTCATCCTGAAATTTTATTTCTGGATGTGTGTGTGTGTGTGTGTGTGTGTGTGTGTGTGTGCACGTGCATGCACGTGTGTCAATCATGCTTTTCATTTTAAAAATTCATGTCTTTCTTCAGTTCAGAAAATTATTCAGAACATTATTTCTTCACACAGTGCCTTCTCTCTGGTCTTTCTATTCCCTGTATCTGGAACTCCTATTAGATGAATGTTGAAAATTCCAGGATCCTTTCCAGGATTCTTCCATTTCCTTTAATTTTTTCCTTTCATACTTCCTTTTAATTTTGGGGGCAGAGTCTTGCTCTGTCTTCCAGGGCTAGAGTGCAGTGGGGTCATCGTAGCTCGCTGCAGCCTCAAACTCCTGGGCTCAGGCAATCCTCTTGCCTCAGCCTTCCGAGTAGCTGGGACTATAGGCACACGCCACCATGCCCGGCTAATTTTTCTAATTTTAGTAGAGATGAGGTCTTGCTCTTGCTCAGGCTGGTCTCAAACTCCTGAGCTCAAGTGATTCTACAGCCTCAGCCTCCCAGAGTGCTAGGATTACAGGCGTGAGCCAGCATGCCTGGCCTCATACTTTCTATTTCTCAATCCTCTTGTGCTACTCTCTGTGAAGTGGTGCCATGCCTGAACACATTGTTTTTAGTTGTTCCAGTTTCTCTTATTAATATGAAAATGCTTGTTATTTATTAGAGATAGTTACTTTTAATTTGTTGCATGTTTCACCATTTTCCCCTAAATTTGCCTCTTTAAAAATGGTTGATAATGGCATATTTTGACTTAGATGATACTTTAACTTTTACATATTTAAATATGTCAGATTTATGTCAGAGTTCAACTTTTTTTTTTTTTGCATGGCATTAATTCCTAAAACCTCCAGAGTTTCCTAAGGCAGAGTGAGTTTAACAGAGACTAGAACAAGTTTTGACCATTCACACACATCTCCATGCTATGCATGAAAACAGGAGTGAAATGCTTATAAATGTGCTCACTTGAGCATCATACTGCAACAGGTCCTTGGGTCAAGCTTTGTGAAATAGGATGATCTCACCCTCTGCTGATGCCAGGAGCAGGGGCATCACCTTCGTCTGTTTTTGTGGTGCTTTTTGTCAGCTATGAAGACTTGCATTTTTAAAGCCAGGCACTGGAATTTCAAGTTACCATTATTATTAAAAGACAGGCTTGTTCAGCTTAAGTTTAGAGGCAGGTAAGGGATAAAGAATAATGAAACTAGAACCATATAGTATTAATCAATTACAGTCAATTGCCCTATTTGTAAATAGGGAGGGGGAAAAGATTATATAGCTGTAGTGGCTTGTATATGAATAAAAATAATCTTTAACCACTTCGGCCGCGAAACCTTGCCCACAGCTGGCACTCATAGTCCGCGTGTTAGTTTGTGCTGTGCATTGACAACAAATCCGTTTTGCTCTTGTGTGATGAGGAAAGCTTTAAAGCACTGAAAGCTTGTTTTACTTTACAGGCAGCTTTACTTGTAATGTAAATCAGAATAGGTAACATATATATATATATATGTTTTCATTACGTTATTTTTAAATGTTCACACTTTTATTTTGATAAATGAAAAATTAGAAGAGTCATATCACGGCTGTCGGCTAAAGTCACTGTGTGCATTTATCTGTGGCTGTCGACTATAGTCGACACTGGTACCGAAGTGGTTAAAGACAGATGTCCTTAAGCATCTGAAGATTTCTTTCATAAACACACGTGAATTGTTTTTGGTATGGCCCTTGCAATAAAAATGGCTTTCCTATTTCTAAATGATTGAAAAAGATCAAAAGATAATTTGTGACACTTGGAAATTATATGAAATTCAAATTTCAGTGTCTATAATACCATTTTCACTTATTAGGTGGCAAAGATCCATATTTCATAACTCAGGCTGTTGGCAAGGCCATAGTGAAATCAGCCTTCGCATCCCCATGTTAGGTCCTCCTGACTCTTGCTTGGACCAGCCATGCTTGTTCCTATCTCAGGGCCTTTGCACTTGCTGCTGCCCTCTGCCTGGAGACATTCTTTGCCATGAGAACCATGGGGCTTGCTCCCTCCAGCCAACCTAGAGCCCAGCCCACTGTCCCCTCCTCAGTGAGACCTCCCTGACTGTCTGCTCACCCACCACTTCCCCACATCACTTTACATTTCTTCATAGCTTTCATCTTTATCAAATGATTTCTCTCTTATCCTCTCCTCTGCTAGCTAGCTTTTTCCAAAAAGAGCCAGAGAGTAAATGACGTTGCAGGGCCATATGGTCTCTGTTGCAAATCCTCAGCTCTGCACAAAAAAAGCCACAAACAATAAGTAAATGAGAAGGAAAAAATATGTAAATGAACAAGCCTGACTGTGCTCCAATAAAACTTGACTTAGAGGCACTGAAATTTGAATTTCATATAACTTGCAAGTGTCACAAAATATTATTCTTTTGATTTTTTGTAATCATTTAGAAATATGAAAGCCATTCTTATCTTAGTTCAAGGGCCATATCATAATAAATGGCAGGCTGAATTTGGCCTGTGGGCCATAGTTTCTCAACTCTTGTGCTAGACCATCAACTCTGATGGGCACTGTCATTTTCTTCATTCACTGCTACATCCCCAGTGACTAGAACAATGCTTGGCACTCAGTAAGTTCTCAACAGATGCTTCCTGAGTGAGTGACCACATGATAACAGGCACATTCCTACTTTCAGGTCCTCAGTTTATCCCAGCCTGGACTTTAGCAGGCTTCGCCAAAAAGTCTAAGAAAAAGAGCCGAAGGTGGAGGCCAGAGCTTTAATTCAATATCTTTATTCTTCCCCTTTAGCCCAATAATCCTGACAAATAGCTTTGGCCAGGAGGAAACAGAGAAGACTGGACTGGGCAAGGGCTCCCCCAGGGCCTGGCCACCTCCTCCTTCCATAGGGTTGGGTTTGCAATTAGGGCCATGGTCCAAGCTCAGCATCCCTGGGGAGGAAGAAAGTGGACCACTCTGCAGCCTCTGCCGCCCCCACCTCCAACAGCCATGCTGATGAGACCCCTCCACACCCCAGGCACGAGAGACCAGAGAAAGCAGCCCGACTCCCTCCATACGCACGTGTGCGTGTACACGGGGACCAAGGCAGGGCATGGTCAGTGTCCAGACACACTGCTCTGGCCTGTGGCCCAGTTGGCAAACATAAAGCCTATACTGATCGCCATGAAGAGGACCCCCAGGGCGCCAAAACACAGAGCCTGAGGGCAAGAGGGAGAGAAGATAGGGCTAGTTGAGACTCTCCACCTACGCTCCACCTGAGAATGTTCCTCAAGCCTTCCACCCCCTTCCAGAGAGCCCAATCCATGCTGACCTTCCTCTGTACTCCCTACAGCCAGCCCCTTCCTGTGAATCCTCCCTCATCTTCCCAGGACCCATCCGGGAGTGCTCTCCTCCAGCCTCCTTCTGGAAAGTGCTCCTTCCATCTGCCTGCAGAATGCTCCTCACATGGCAGCCCCTTTTTCTCCCTCTGTCTTCCCAGCCTCTGCTGGTGCTCCGTCTGCTCTACCTCTTCCTGAGACAGTCACCCCTATTCTCCCAGATCATCACCCCTTCTGAATGCTCCTTCTTACCCCAGCCCTCTCCTCAGAATGCTTCTTGTCCCCAGCTCTCCCCTGGAGTGCTCACCTGGATCTTGGGCCAGGAAAAGAGGGGCTCCACCTCAGAGGGTACAATGCGGAGGTAGAAGATGCTGGGGAGGATGAAGATGAGGCTGGGGGCTGACGTGGACCCTGGAGGACAAGAAAGAGGGACAGGAATCAACCTAAGCTTGGGTATAAGGCCCATATTAGGCAGGGTATGGGGACTGGCGTTGGGGATACTGACCGATAACCCCAAAGATATCCCGTATGGTCGGCACACAGATGACGAGAACATTGACCAAAACAAGCAGGATCAGGGCTATGGCCACGTGCCGCAGCCAGCTGAAGGCCTTGCCTGGGAAAAGCAGCTGCTGCAGAGCCCGGCGTATCTGTGGCCAGAGAAGGGTGCGGCAGAAGTCAGGACCCAAGTGCTGCCCCCTTCCATGTGATAATCTGCTCTAGCTCCACCCCCATCCCAGATCCCCGATTTCCCCTACTTCTATGCTCTGCCCTGCCAGAACCTTCCATCTGTGCCTCCACCTGCTCAGGGAGCTTCTTGCCTCTACCCTCTGACAATCCACATCCCCTTCTGTCTGAACATCCATCTGTGCCTCCACCCACTGTCTGAAATCCTCGCCCCCCCATCTCACCATCTCTGCCTCCCCCGTCTGATCATATACGTGCCCTTCCACCCTAAGATCCCTGCCTCTCTCTAACTGACTACCTCTACCTCCCCTATCCAATCATTCCCGCCTGCCCCTCCCCCATCCCTGACCCTCTCTGTCCTGCCATCTGCATCCCCTCCCCTTCTGTCTGACCATCTATTTTTGCCTTCTCTGTCCATTTGCCAACTGTCTTCCCTGTCTGTCCATCCTTGCCTCCTCCATCCATCCATCCACTCCCATCTCCACCTTCCACCTGAACATCCATGCTTACGTCCTCTACACATCCATCCACGTCCCTCCTCCCCATGGGTCCACCCTCGCCCCAACACACAGGGAACAGCACAACTGGCACAGTGAGGGTCACCGCGAGCAGCACGGCCAGGCGCACGCAGAGGATGAGCATGTCCTCTTTGCTGTACATGTGCAGCATTTCTGCCTCCACGCTGCCTAGACCATAGGACAGGGAACACACGATGCAGGATGTGGCAGGAGCACCAGGAACCCACACACATACATGGTGACAAAATCTACATGCATATTGCACACCCCTTCCCTTTAGAAACTGATAGGTCCAAGGTCACAGAGGGAAAGAGCTCAGAGGCTCCTGCCCCAGCCCTCTGCCCAGTCCCCACACCTGTCCCCCAGGCCTGGCCCCAGCCCCACTCACTGTAGAAGGTGAGGTAGCCGAAGGTGGCTGTGAGCCCGTACATGCAGAACATGGCCCCAATGGACACGTTGGCCACGGCCTGCATCCTGCGCTGAGAGGGCCTGAGGTGCAGAGGCCATAGAACTGTCATGCCCAGAACTCTGGATTTGGCCCAGTCCCCTCAAAGCAAGTCCCTACCCTCCAGCGTCCCATTCTCCCAGACTGACGTTCAGCTGGTATACACTGAACCCATCTCCACCTCCCCTGTGTGACTAGCCAAGCCTCCCCTCTCTGTCCATCCATATCTCACCCCATGAGACCACTGGGATACCCCAGGTAGCCTACAAGGGGCAATACACAGAGCCTCAGAAACCAAGGGACCCCCCCCACCATGGCAAACCCCATCTCCGCCTCTCCCCTCCGTTTTACCACCACTGCCTCTCCCTTCCATCTGATCATCCACACATCCCCCAACATAACACCCCTACCTCCCCATCCCTGTCCATGCATACCACCCTCCATGTGATCATCTGATCTCAGCCTCCCAACTCTGCCCATTCACATTTGTGCTGGATGTTAAAACAGGGGAATACTTGAGCCCCAATCAGTAAATAGTCACCGCCCTGAGTCCCCTGAGGCATCCTGGCCACCCCAAACCCCTCCCTTGGCACAACCCAGCCACTATCAAGCTACAGTTCCAGGACCGCTGCAGGGATCGTCAGGCATATGACTACCGCCCCACTGCTGGCCCATCTCACGTGCCCACCTGCCCGCCCACTCACCGGCAGAGCTCCGTGTAGATGGGCAGCACCTCAGGGTGGCAGACAAAGGCGAAAGCCATGATGGGCACTGTGTAGGACATCTGGGGAAATGACCCAAGTACACAGGATTGGAGTCCACAGGGGTCCCTCCCTTCCCCCTGGCCCTACCATCGCCCTCGGTATCAGACACGTGGGAGCCCCCAATGCCCAATACCTGGCTTCCCTCTGAGAAGGATACTCTGGGTGATGGGATCAGAGGGTCTGAGTGTGGCGCAGGCTCTATATGCTTGCATACCCACCTGTGAGTCAACTGTGAACATCTTGGCCTCACAGCTGCTGTTGAGCCCCAGGGGGCCTTCACTCTCCATTGCTGTCTCATTGCGGCCTACAGCACAGCCAAGTTGGAACTTCTTATAGATGACCTAGGGGTAGGGGGAGCAGGGAAGAGAGGTCATGGTGGCGGCTGTGTTCCAAAGTCCCAAACTCCCTCCCTACCTTTTCATGTTCTTCTCTCTGACTCACTGAAATGAGGAAAAACAGCATGCAGGTCAGAGAGAGACCACTGGTATACCCCAGGTAGCCTACAAAGGGCAATATGCAAAGCCTCAGAAATCAAGGGACATCCCGCATGCCAAACCGCAAACCCCTAGTCTGGCCTTCAAGGTCCCCTCACCCCAATTACCTTTGCAAAAGGTTTTACTTCCACCCAGACCAGCCGCCCCTCCATATAAACTCTTACTAATCTGCTAAAACCCACATCAAACAAGCTCTCTCCTGGTGTCCCGCAGCCCTTGAAAATGGGAAGTTTCTCAATGGCTCCCCCTCTCAAACCCACTATCCAATGACCAACCCAGTAAGCCTCTTACCCAGGTGTTTCATAAGGGCCAGGGGCAGGATGATTAACAAACTGACAAGGATGATAAGGAAGTTTCCCTTCAAGAACCAGTTCCTAGGGAGACAAGGAAACACAGTGCCTCGCTGCCAGCCATAGGAGGCCATCAGGTAGACACTCACAGAAGACAGCCAGACAGACATATCCGCCCGCAGTCAGGAAAGATAAGCTGACACCTCAGCTGTGATAAGTCATTCAGGTGGTTAAAGTGACAAATGGCACAACAAGATTGCAAAAAACAGACGGATTATGAAGACAGTCAGACACCGTTGGTGAGACACAGCTGACAACACATGCACAGTTGGACAAAACTTGCTGTCAGATTCAGAAGTGGACATACAATCAGATGGTCAAACACGCCAAATCAGTCAGGCTCAATGGGCAAATCAGTCCAACACAAGGTGCCAGAACACAAAGATAGAGTGACTCGCGGTCCTGGTATGTCTGATAGGTAGAACAACAGTCTGATGAACTGATATACAAGCCCTGACACAGAGTCCGTCAAAAAGTCAGAAACACACTACATGCTTGTTTGAACAGCTCAAGGTTTGCTGGATGCCTGAAAGTATGCCCGTGGGATGATGTGGCCACACAACCAAAGAAAGACTGAAATAGAAACAGAATCAGCCAGCTGGCCAGTGTTGGAACTAAGCTCCGAGAAAAAGTAAGACCTGTACAGATATTGGAGGGAGGGGCCCAGGCAAGATCGGTTAACTCAGAATCAGCTGAGCAATGCTCATGTGGTCCAAATAACTTGACTGAATGTCTACTATGTTCTAGGCATTCACACGTTCTCTATCTCATACACAAAGTTACCCGGAAATAAACCAACAAAGTGCCATTGGCCATATATACAAGGACAGCTAATTATAATAATTAGACATACCTAGTCACACTATAAGCTGACTGGATGTTTTCAGAATCAAACCAAATACCTAACAGGATATATACACAGGCAATAAAAAGCAAGCACTCAGTTCAAACTATCAGACACACAGACCAACTAACCCACAGTCAGACTCACAAAACCAGACACGTGCACACACACCATGCAAAGTCCATGGGACCAGAGTTAAAGTCAGCCACTGGTCATGTAGAGCTGTGCGTTAAACATACTAAGGCAGCTAGACACATTCAGCTCGAGCAGAAGCATCACCGCACACTGCACACACATGTACACTGCTGGGGCCCTGTCACAGACAGACAGACAGACTGAGCACATGCTGGGTCTGGATTCAAACACGCAGTTAGCTGGAGGCACAGTCAGAACAACAGTCAAACATACATGGTTGCAAACAGGGGCCACATACACACACACACACACACACACACAGCCAGAGAGAATTTGCCAGAACAGAAGTCACCAAATCAAACCCAGAGATGGAGTTGACTGGATACATACAGTCAGAGCAAGTCACACAGACAGAACTGATACCACAGTATCACACACACACATACACACAACATTGGAATCAGCAGTCACACACTTACAGCTAGACAGATTCAGCCAGATGAACCCAAAATCAAACTCAAAGAAACAGCTGGACAGGGAAAGTCAGAGTAACCAAGCGTCAGACACATATAGTCAGAATCACAATATACAGGACATAGCTGGAGTCAAGCATACAGCCAGCCAGAAAGAATTGGCCAGCACAACAGTCACTGAATCAAACCCACAGACAGAGTCAAAGTCTACTGGCTATGTACAGTCATACACACAGGGTTAGCGTCAGAAGACACTGGTCATACAGAGTTAGGCACCAGCCAGAAGCAGCCAGAATAACAGTCACAAAATCAGCACATGGTCTACTGGACTTCTATAGTCAGAGGAACAGTCACACATACTGTTGGCATCACAATACACAGGAGGAATCACAGTTGGACCCAAATGGCCTGCCCAACAGTCACAAAATATAACACCTGGGAGTTAGCTGGACACAGACAGTGGAAGATAACAGCTGGACTGACCTCACAGGCAGAGTCAAGCGACTGCAGGCCAGCCGAAGGGTATTGCTCACTCACCCCTCAGAGGCCCTGTCCAGGAAGGCATGAATAACCAGGGGGAGCTCAGATTTGATGATGAACAGGTAACTGGACATGGCTGGTGCGGGTAGGGGGAGGTATAAGCAGAAGGATTCCCTTCATGCCCCCACCTCGTCTTCCCCAGCCCAGCCCACCTCATCCCACCCTCTTCCCCCCCAAGCTGAACCCCACCTCACAGACTCCTCACCCCCAACATTGTGCAGACAGATGACCACAACCACTGCTACCTTCCCCACAGGCCCGAATGCTTTCTGTCCCAGCTGCTCATAGGCCCGGATGCCTAGTGAGGGGAGGGTATAGGCAGGAACAGGTTGTAGGTCCAGGAGGCCAGGCCAGAGGTGCAGGCCAGAGGTTTGGGGAGCTGGGGAGTCGGGGCTTGGGGGAACTGGGTTTGAATGATGGAGGCTGGAGGTTCGGGCTAAGCAGTTAGGGCTGAGTTTGGGGGTAGAGTCTGGAAGGTGGGATCTGAGGCCAGGGAGAAGACTGGGGACTAGAGGTAGGGAGTGGGGGGCTTAGAGCCAGAATATGGACTGAGACCACAGTGGGAGTGAAGCCCAGGAGCTGGGAAGCCAGAGGCTGATGAGTGGGGGCCTCAGGGTTATGGGGCTGGCTTCCAGGTTAAGGGGGCAATCTGACACTGAGGGTGGGGTCAGAGGTAGAGTGCACTGGTCTGAGCAATGGAGTCTGATGGCCGGACTGAGGGGTAGGAGTTGGGAATTGGGAGATGGGGATTTGGGAGCCCAGATAAAGTCTGAGGGTCAGGGTTCTGGAGTTGAGTGAGGGGTCTGGGGTGCTGGGCCTGAGATCTAGGGTCAGGGTAGTACGTCCAGAGTCTGGGTATTGGGTTGAGGTCTGGGGTCAGGGGGTTGGGTTCGGGGTCTGGGGTCCAAGGTCTTGGGTGAGCTCCAGATGTGGATCAAGAGTCTAGGGCTGGGATCCAGGCTGTGGGTCTCACCTATGACACCAGCACATGTCAGCAGGAGGTGGATGGAGTACGAAGACAGAAGTGCGATGCACAGCAGCAGGGCTCTGTGGTGTATGGCACAGCTTAGACTTCGTCCCGGGCCTCCCGCCTGCCCCCCCCCACACCCCTGGCCTCCCATGCCACCCATGGACTCACAGGAAGAAGAGGACCCCTGTGTGGGCCATGGCATAAGCCAGCCCCAGGATGCCACTGCCCATGATGGCGTTGCTGAGGTTGAACACTGACATTCCGAACGATATCTTCCCCTCGAACTGCAGGCAAGGGGTAAAGCCCAGGCATGCATGGGGAGGGAGGACCAGGTAAGGAGAGGAGTGCCGGAGCCAGGGAAAGAAGTGAGTGGAGTGGGGGAGACGCCTAGGAGGGGGCCATCGGAGGAAGGAAGAGGCTAGAAGAGAAAAAGAGTTGAAGATGGGAGGAAGCTGGGAAAGAAGACCTGGGAAAAAGAAAACTAGGAGAAACTTTGGAGGGAGCAGCTAAAAGTGGAGAGGACCTGGGGAAGGTGGAGCAGCTACCAGAGGCAAAACAGCTGGGGAAGGGAGTAGCTGGGGCTGGGGATCAGCTGAGGATGGGGAGCACCGGAGGCGAGGGGAAAAGAGGTAGGGGAACAAAGCAGGCAGGGAAGGGAGCAGCTGGGGAGGGCATACCTAGGGAAGGGGACTATCTGGAAGGGAAAGCAACTGAGGAGTAACTAGCTGGAGTGGGGAGCTAGCTAGGTATGGGGAAAGCTGGGAAGGAGGAGTAGCTGGGAAGAGAGAGCAGTAGGGGAGGAGATTAGCTGGGGCAGGTGCTTCTAGGACAGAGCCTATGGGGTCACTCACATCCATGAACTGGACCGGCTTCCTCCCAGGAGCAGGACCACGGCTGGGCAGGAAGCCCTCACGTTCCTGCCTGTAGCTGGATAGGGCAGGGACATGGGGACTGATGAGAGGGTAACCCTGACCCCGGACCCCACCTCCTTGGGCCCCCAACTCACCCCACAGCATTCACAGGAAGGACTCCGTTCATCTTTGGATCCTGCAGTTCCATCCTGTAGGCAGAGAACTGTGGAGGGGAGAGTCAGAGGTGGGGAGTGCTACAAAGTGAGGAGAGCTTCCCGAAGGAGGAGGGGGTCACACAGGGACAGGGAAAAAGATGAAGGAGGAGAACAGGAACAGAGAGGGATAAGAGACAAGGATATAAGTGGAGAGAGGCCAACAGATAAAGAGAGGGGAGAGAGAAAAGACTCAGAGGAGAGAGGCTGCCAAGCTACTCAGAAAGACACAGAGAAAAGATGGTACTGACAGATAAACAGAGGAAGAGAAAGACAGGATGATACAGAAAGACACCAACGGCAGATGAAATGGCCATTTGGAGCTGGGATAGCCTCTCAAATTCCGGACTCACTCACTCTATCTCTCTTGCCGGCTGTCACTTTCATTCCCCCGTCGCCTGCACCCCCGCTTTCCCTCCACCCTCACTGCGTGGCTCACTCCTGGCAAGGACACGTGTGGATCCCGGCTTCTCCACCTCTTCTAATGCCCCTCACCCACCCCACCCCACCCCTGTCCTGCCCTGGGGGGGCACCCCCTAGCCCAGGATCAGAGTTGATGCAACCTGTTGAATGGGCTGGGGGTGGGGGCAGGCTTGGAGAACCCAGCTCCAGGCGCTGCAAACTGCTCTCCACCACAGCTCTGAATATCCTCACTAGAGGCCAAAGACCAGGCATCCTCAAACTATGGCCAGCGGGCCACATGCGGGTGTTTTTGCCTGTTTGTTTTTTTACTTCAAAATAAGATATGTGCAGTGTGCATAGGAATTTGTTCATAGTTTTTTTTAACTATAGTCCGGCCCTCCAACGGTCTGAGGGATAGTGAACTGGCCCCCTGTTTAAAAAGTTTGAGGACCCCTGCCAAAGACAATCCCCAAACCAAGCCCCTTCCCAGGGAGAGAAGCGATCCAGAGACTCCCATTTAATCCCCCTCCTAGGGCCTGAGAGGTATTTTCCAGGACCCCTATCAAGTCTTAAACACTCATCTTCTGGCAGAAGTAGCTTTGGAGACACTTCCAGACTTGAGAAACTTCCTGGGCTTAGGGTGCCTCAGGGACCTGGCCCAACTCCTAATTTCCCCTCCTCAGGATGATGAGTCTCTGAGACAGACCTTCAGCAAAGCCCCCCTCCCAGGGCCTAATGTGTTTCCTGAAGTGGAGGTGTCTCTGCAATCCTAATCCAAGCTCAGAGCCCCTATCTTGTGGATGGAGTGTTTCTGAAGAAAGCCCCAGCGGTAGCTCACTCCCTGGGAATGAGGCATCTCAGAAACCCCCTTTCAGAGTCCCCATTAGAGCTAAAACCAGATCCAGGAAACCCCCTCCCAAGTCCTGAATCTCCTTTCTGGAGCAGGCAGAGGTCTCAAGGAGCCCCATCCCCAGCCATGAGCACCCTCTGGAGACTACCACCCACTCCTAAATTTGCTTCCTGGGATCAAGGTACCAAAAGAACATCCCCCTACCCCATTCAATTCCCCACTGGCTCTAAAAATGGGTTACCTGAGTCACCCCCCGGGACCCCAACTCATATCTTGGGGCCCCCAGAGACACCAACTGCACATCCCCTGCTCACCTCCTTGCTCCTCTCAGCTCCAGAAGCCGTAGCAACTCAGACCAGGGCGCAGGGACCCCCGCAGCCAGCGTGGCTCCCGCTCTAGCAGTGCCCTGCCTCCGCCCCGCCCTACAGCCAATCCGCTCCGCCCGCGCCTGCTCCGCAGCCAATCGCGCGCCCCATCGCGACCGCTTATATTCCCACCCCCCACACCCAGAAGAAATGTGCATTTTAATTTCTTTTCTCTCCTTTTGGCCCTAGGCGGGGGAAGGGGTGGGAGAGGGGTGCCCCCATCAGGACCCGCCTGCGGGGAGACTGAGGTCTGTGGGTGTCTTGGTGGTGCGGGAGATGGACTGAAAGACTGAGGCACTAGATCCATACGTAGAGAGAGGGACAGGCAGACAGAGGGAATGGAATCAGAGATCAGACAGATAGCAGGAAGAGACAGATGGTGGGAAGAGGTGCACAGAGAAGGAGAAAGAGGAAGAGAAACAAAGTCACAAATAGAGACAGGCAGACAGGAAAAACAACCCCACAGGGACAGACAGACCACAGAGGAAACAGAAAGACAGGAGACGGGGGTCAAGGGGAGCATGGTAGACAGGCAGAAGGGCGGTCACCTGGAGAGACATACGGACAGACTCAGAAACAGGCAGGTGGGTAGGGATAGGCGCATGCAAGCACCTGGAGGAAGGCAACAGGCAGTCAGGCCCAGCAATAGACAGGAGACACAGGCTGGCAGATAGACAGGGGCACCCAGCTAGACATCCCCAAACAGAGGTTGGGACCAAACGCACCCACCCAGAGAGGCAAAGGAACAGAGGGAATGGTTGAGGCAGAGAGACACACAGAGGGACAGAAGAAACAGGCAGGGAGGCAGACAGGGTGGATGGAAAGGCCTAAGGACAGCAGCGGTACTGGTGCAGGGCTAGACACAGCCAGGGCATTATAGGTCTTACAGGCAGAGCACAGACAGACAGCCTAGTCAGGAGAGGACTCAAAATCTTGGAGGCCTCCAGAGGGAGGCAGGGAGGGCATTTGTGGTTGGGTGAGGAGTGTGGACACACACAGTCTGCACACTGGGCACGCCCCGGAGTCTTGGACCCCAGCACAGGCATGGGGTGCAGCCTGTCCAAGCTGTAACTCTGGAGCCCCAATGTCTGTTTATTTGTCTTATATGAGGGTCTGTCTGTTCACTCCCAGGCAGGCATGTGACAAAAATGTCTGTCCTAGGCAAGACATGTGTCCCTTATGGGGAATCAGGCAGGGTGGACTTGAGGTCTTGGCATAGCTCAACTGGGCTGCTTGATGCCCAAGACGACAAGAAGCCTCTGTCCAGGCCCCTCGCCTGCCTGCCTACCCCCTATAGGGAGTACAGAATTGCCGGAAAGGCCAGAAGCTGGCTGAGACTTCAAAGCCAGCCTAGATGCCCCCACTACACCCAAAGTTGGAGGAGGGCAAGGGATGGGGTGTTTACTTCCCTACAGCAGGAGAGAGACTCCTGCACATTCTGGGGATCACAGCTACACAGCAGCCCCATCACTGCCCCATCCATGGGCTCAGAGATGGGGGCAGACTCACCATAACCCACAGAGGTGCAAACGAGCACAGCCCAGTGGGCACACACACTCACAGCCACACACAGAGAATATAGGTTGACGGACATGACACGCATAGACTCACCAGTGCACACAGACAACTCAGGCTCGTGGGACAGTCACAGGCACTCACAGCCACACAGGGATGCTAGTCTTACAGGTATCATCAACCTGTAGACTCAGAGCCCCATACAGAGAGCACAGACTGGCACGAACATAGGTTTATATAGACTATGAGCCTATAGGCTTCACAGACATTACAGACTCCTGGACATCGTCACCCACAGCCATGCCAAGGACAACCAACAGGCAAGTCACACGCACAGACTTGCAGCCACACACAGCCAACAACATAGTGCACAGGCTCTATATCTTCCCCCAACCCCCGGCCCCACCACCACCACACATGATTCCACATTCAGATGGCCCCAGAGGCAAACTTCCAGATTCAAGGCCTAAAATGATACTTCTGTGCATGTGAACTAGTGTGTGCACTTGTAACCACATGGAACCACATGCAGCTCTGATCACAGACAGAGCAGGGCACTCACAGGCAGACGTGATTGTCCAAACAGAGAAGCTACAGCCATACACACACACACACACACACACACGCACACACGCACACACGCACAACTGCATTCAAGCAGATGGCTGCATAGAGCTGTGTACACACACAGCTATTCACAAGTCACGTCTGGAAAGAAACAGGGAAAATATATACAGGTGCGCAAACAGAAAGTGCAGGGATATAGAGAGTACACTTGCTATCATTGCAAAGAGGAAATCCAGAAAATACACCTAACACTGCCTGAAGAAGCAACAGGGGAACCAGAGAGTACACATACAGTGGCAACAAAAGAAACACTCCTAGGGCACACATGCCTGAAGTTGCCCACCACGGAGAGACACACCGAGAAGAAAGACCCATACACATAGGCAATACACACACAGGAGGGACAAATCCTCAAATACACTCATCACCCACAAGCGTTACAAAGGAGACAAACACCCAAGCAGCACACACACAACCCCATATAAATGAATTGTACAGGCAGATGGTACACACGGTCACCAAAAAGGAAACACAGGGGCAGGCACGATGGTTCACCCCTGTAATCCTAGCACTTTCGGAGGCCAGGGCAGGCTAGGATCACTTGAGGCCAGGAGTTCAAGACCAGCCTGAGCAAGAGCGAGACCCTGTCTCTACCAAAAATAGAAAAACTAGCCGGCTTTCGAAGGCCGAGGCAGGAGGATCGCTCGAACTTAGGAGTTCACCTGAGTAAGAGCGAGACCCTGTCTCTACTAAAAATAGAAAGAAATTAATTGGCCAACTAAAAATATATAGAAAAATTAGCCGGGCATGGTGGCATATGCCTGTAGTCCCAGCTATTCGGGAGACTGAGGCAGAAGGATCACTTGAGCCCAGGAGTTTGAGGTTGCTGTGAGCTAGGCTGACGCCATGGCACTCTAGCCCAGGCAACAGAGTGAGACTCTGTCTCAAAAAACAAAACAAAACAAAACAAAAAAAACCTAGCCGGGTGTGGTGGCATGTGTCTGCGGTCCCAGCTACTCAGGAGGCTGAGGCAGGAGGATCACTTGAGCCCAGGAGTTTGGGGTTGCAGTTAACTATGATGATGCTACTACACTCTATCCCGGGTGACAGAACCACCTTGCCTCAAAAAAAAAGGAAACATATGAGTTGAACAGGCAGCCATAGACAGAAGACACATTCAGGCAAGTTACTTAGGAAGACACACGTGCAGCTCACATAGAGGTGGTTATGGCTGAGAACCTATACAAGCAAATGAGATACACTCAGGCTATTCACACACACACACACACACACACACACACACACACACACACACACCTGCCCAGTACTCCCCTCAAGGTCTATCTACTCTGACTCTTTCTCCTCTGATACCCCTCCCCCACCCACAAACATAACACGTGTGTGCTGTGGGCTGGCCAGGGAAAGGGACACCTGTCAGCAGAGGCCTTGGCCCAGGTAGTTAAAGGGGAGGTGGGAGATGAGGCGAGGCAAGTATCTATATTTCAAGAAAAGTCTGAAGTGTCCTGTCCAAAGAACTAGTGCACCTTGGACAAAAAAAATAGATGCCCCCCCACCCATTTACCACCTCCCCACCGCAGCCTCCTGGTCTGGTCATTCCCCTCCTAGAGGCTTCCCCAGCTCTCCGACATTGCCCAGCACAGGGCTACCAGGCACACAGCAGGCACTCAATGAATGTCACTTATCAGGTGTCATAATATTATCATTATCATTTTTATGTCTGCCAAGGGACGTCTTTTAGGGGAGGGATGAACCTCCACCCAGCTCTACACCCCATAGCTCTGCTAAGTTTCAGGGCACTGCAAATAGCAAGTGTTCACCATATGCTGGTAGCAGGAAAAACAAGGGGAAAGCAGGGGCTGGCTGCACAAGGGCAACCTGCTTTAGATGGAGCAGCTGTCCGTAAGCACAACTGACCAAGGCCGGGGATAAGAATGCTTTGTTAGTTCATAAAAGTAGGGCCCCTTCTCAGGGACATTTAAGGATTTTGTTGGTTCAGTAAAGCAGACCCTTGCGTGACATTTGGGATTCTTATCTAGTCTATTCAAAGTAATTTGGAGTTCTTGTCAGTTCTTCTCAAGGGGACTCCTGATTTTCATTAAAACAGGTCACTGCTTGGTAGCCTTCAGGAAAGGGAGCAGTTAACAGCAAAGCTTTCTCAGCTTTGCCACTTATTAGCTGTGTGGCCAGGAACAAGTGCCTCACTGGCCACTAACCCTCACTGTGTCTCAGTTTCTTCAAGGGCATGATAATGCCTAGCTCACAGTGCTATTGGGAAGATTGAAAGAATTAACACAGGCAAGGCACTGAAAACAATGCTTGACACATAGTAATTGCTCGATATGTATGTGTGAATGGAATTAATGGATTATTTTCAGTTTGCACATTTAGGATTCTAATCTGTCCTTTCATGTAGACTCCTCGCAGAGTAACTCTCTTTCTAGCTGCTTCAGTCCCTCAAAGCAGCCCCTGGGCAGCAAAGCTCTAGTCCCATGTCCCTGGCCCACCTCCTTCATTCCCCCACACTGTTGCGATGCCCCTCCAGGAAAGAGCTGGCCTGGCAGCTTCCCCATTCTTGACCTCTTCAGGAGGCTGAGGGGAGGACACCTTTATACTCAGTGGGGTGCAGGGTGAGAGCTGCAGGCCAACACCCTACTTCGGGAAGAGCCTGGGGAGTTCAGAGCCTGGCTTCTGTCCCCTAAGACCCTGGTTCTGCTGGAGGAAACAAGTTTCTTTGCTGAAAATTAAACATCCTCTTTGTGAGCAGCAAGAAAACAGGACGTGGGAAGTGTCCCAGGGTGAACACAGGCCCCCAATGCCTGGCACCCTCTCCTCTCTTGTGGAACAGCAGCCTGGTGGCTTGAACCCTTCCTTTCTCACACTTGCTCAGCTCTGCAGGGGGGCCACAGTCCCACAGACCCCACAAAGCCCTGGAGCTCTGCCCACACTGATGCTGACACTGACAAAGCTCTCAGGGACTCCTTCAGGAGGCTCTGTGTCTCTGTCTATGCCTCGGCCCTTGGCCCAGGGCTCCACAAAAGTTCAGGGTGCACCACAGAGGAAAGAATGAAGGAACAAAGCAACAAAAGGGTAAAGGCAACAAACACTTATTAAACATCAGCTATATGCCATGCTGGCCCTGTTCTAGGCCCTGGGAGGCAGCAGTGAACATGACAGAACAAGAACCCCCACCCAGTGAAGCTCCCGTGCTAAGAAATGACCAATCAGTCAATTCTTTGAATGTCCACCAAGATGGTTCCCACTTCAGGGTCCCCTCTGCCTAGAATGCTCTTCCTCCAAATACTTCTATGGTGTGCTTCAGGTCTCAGCTCAAATGTCACCTCCTCAGAGAAGGCTTTCCTGACTCTGTTATTCGCCAGCCCTTTCTTCATAGTTTTTATCACCACCTGACATGTCACATATTTATATATTTAATAGTATATACTTAACACAATTACTTAGTAAGTAAATGTATAGAGATAATAGAGTATTTCCATTAGCATATACATTATATGTCATATGTATAAGATGATACATAGATTTTTATACATACACTATACAAAAAAGGCTGGGCGCGGTGGCTCACGCTTGTAATCCTAGCACTCTGGGAGGCTGAGGCAGGAGGATCACTTGAGCTCAGGAGTTCAAGACCAGCCTGAGCAAGAGCGAGACCCTGTCTCTACTGAAAATAGAAATTAGCTGGACAAGTAAAAATATATAGAAAAAAAATTAGCCGGGCATGGTGGCCCATGCCTGTGGTCCCAGCTACTCGGGAGGCTGAGGCAGAAGGATTGCTTGAGCCCAGGAGTTTGAGTTTGTTATGAGCTAGGTTGACGCCACAGCACTCTAGCCCAGGCAACAAAGTGAGACTCTGTCTCAAAATGAATAAATAAATAAACAGGGGGAGGAGGGGATGGGTATATACATACATAATGAGTGTGATACGCACCAACTGGGGAATGGACACGCTTGAAGCTTTGACTCAAGGGGGGAGGAAGAGCAAGGGAAATATACATAACCTCAACATTTGTACCCCCATAATATGCTGGAAAAAAAATAAAAAGGAAAAAAAAAGAAATAAAATAGCAAAAAAAAATAATAAAAATAAAAAATTTAAAAAAATAAATAAACTTAAAAACTTACAAAATGCATAAAATATATATCATTATATTAATATATAATGGCACATTTCTATTTATTACATGTGTTTACTATGTAATTTATGTACTAGTAAATATACATCACTATTTCTATAAATTGTTAAATGGCATATATGTTTATATAGTTTTGGTTTTTTCTTAGAGACAGCGTCTTGCTCTGTCGCCCAGGCTGGAGTACAGCGGCACAATCACAGCTCACTGCAACCTCTAATGCCAGGGTTCAGGCAATCCTCCCACCTCAGCCATAGGAGTAGCTGGATGCCACCACAGCTAGCTAATTTTCTTTTTATTTTTTGTAGAAACAGGGTCTCACAATGTTGCCCAGGCTGGTCTTGAACTCATGGTCTCAAGCCATCCTCCCATCTTGACCTCCCAAAATGTTGGGATTACACTGAGTCACTGCAGTCTGCCCCGTTTATATACTTAATATAATAATATATATCCTCCCTTGTCTCAATTTCCTCAGCTGTAAACTGGGGATAATTACAGTAACCACCTCATAAGCATTTTTTTTAAGAGATGGATCTCTCCATGTTGCCCAGGCTGGGTTTGAACTCTTGGGCTCAAGCAATCCTTCTGCCTCAGCCTCTGGAGTAGCTGAGACTACGGGCGTGCATCAGCGTGCCCAGCTAATACTCATATGGATGTTGTCAGGATTATGAATGAACAAAGGAAAAGATGTGCTGGAGCCAACTTGTACAGGTTTGAAGGAGCTGCTTGTTCAACTTTCAGAAATTTTGCAGACTGGTGGTTAAACAGCTGTTGTTAAAAATAAAATGATAAAACTTACAATTAAATAAATTATACATTAAAGGTAATAAATACTCAAAATTCATCACCTCCTAATTATTTTACTGCATTTCACTATTTTCTATGTTCTTGAGGTCATTTACTCCCATTTTATCCGTATTGTTGAAAGAGTATATAATGGTGTACACTGCATCTCTGTTGAATTCCCTGTTCAGTGTCTACATATAACTTGATCTGAAAAGATGACAATATGTAAATCGTGGAAATTGCCAGCTACTCCGGAGGCTGAGGCGGGAGGATCATTTGAGCCCGGAAGCCGGATGCTGCACTGAGCTATGATCCTGCAGTGCACTCCAGTGCACTCCCCTGTAAGGGAGGAGGAGAGGGGAGGTGAAGGGAGAGGGGACGGGAGAGGAGAGGGAAGAGGAGGGGGGAAGAGTGGGGAGGAAGAAAGAGAGGGGAGGTGGGAGGGGAAGAGAAAGGGGAGCAGAAATGTTAGAAACCAAGACTCCTCTCCCCTACAAAAGTCAGTTGTTAAGCATTTACCAGCACATCACTGAGAGCACTTAGTGCCTCGCACACGGTAAATGCTACGAAAAATGTTTCCATTACTATATTTATGTTTGTCCACTGGGGTCGCGGTGTATATAGTCTTTTACGTGTGTGGGTCAGAATTAAAAATCTTTGAAGAAAAAACAGAATTACAGAAGGCCAGATAGTGTGCTAACCTACACCTATCTAATCCTCCGAAGAATGCTGTGAAGTCAGCACTATTGATTGTCCCCATTTTCCGGATGGGGAAACTGAGATTCTGAGACGATAAAACTCCTGCAGTGCCATCCATGAGCAGAAGCAGGATTCGGCGTTGCAGCAGAGCGGCATCCGCACGCTCGCGCACTTGATCGAAGCACTAGCCTTACTCTCACGTTTACGCCAGCAGCGGTAATTTCGCTTCACGGCACAAGTAAAATGAATAGGTGCCTTCGTGCTTTTTGCATCTTGGGAAATGTAGTCCACAGGCTCAACGACCATCGTGGTCCCAGAAGGGAGGGGCAGGGGAGTAAATCGGTCATGGCCTTGAAACAAAAGAACAAAGAAGCCCTTCTGTGGGCCACGACGTTTCAGCCACGCTGCGCGTGAGTTTCGTCGCTTTGGTAGTGCCCGTTGCATGTTGGGAACGGCAGGTCTCATGACCCGGATACGTCGACACAAAATGACGGGACACACGTTGTACGTTCACATCAGGTCTGGGCCTCGCCCGAGTCTGGCTTTCCAGGATGGCAAGCTTACCTTGCAGCAGTAACCCTTAGGCATGCATGACGGGCGTTCGGGTTAACCACGAACACAAACTGGAAGCCCTACGACTTCTCATGTGTTTGCGCTCCCACCAAGGCTTGGGCTGCTAGCGGACCACCCTCCTTCCTCCCGCTTCTCCCTATTCTGAAAGCTGAGGTAGGCCCTGGAGCGCGGAGGACTTGGATACAGGCTGAGACAGTGAGGCACGCCTGCACTGTCCTGCCGGAGGGGGAAGGAGTGAGGTCCACCCTCGGCTGCAGCTTCATAGTCCAGGCAGCTGGCATCAGGTGGGCTCTAGACCCAAGATTTTTTAGCAGAAGGGGACCAGTATGCGGGGTTGAGCAGGCATGGGGTCCGCTGTCCGGATATCCGCGGAGCCTCCTTAAGAGGGATCTGGTGATCCCGATGGAGCCATGGTTTTAAGGTACTGATGAGGAGGGACGGGGGTGTGGTCAGAGGGCTGTTAATGAGAAGTTGGGTGGACCATGCTAGAGTAACGGAGGTCAAGTGGAGTGTTACTGGCTAATCAGTGGGGACTAATAAGAGTGTTTTAGTCAATGTGGGGCTGTTGGGATATATTCATTGATTAGCTGAGGGGGTAGTAAAGTGGACATCTAGAATCTAATGGGAGGTGGATGGAGGTGTGATGCCCGAGGGATTGATGGAATTATAACACTCAATGGGTTAATGGAGAACAATGGGGCATGGTAATTGAAAGGATAGTGGCAAGGCTATCAAGGGAATAATAAAGAAGGATGGAGGTCGATCAAGGGACTAGTGGAGGCCGGGCGCGGTGGCTCACGCCTGTAATCCTAGCTCTCTGGGAGGCCGAGGCGGGCGGATTGCTCGAGGTCGGGAGTTCAAAACCAGCCTGAGCAAGAGCGAGACCCCGTCTCTACTATAAATAGAAAGAAACTAATTGGCCAACTAATATATATAGAAAAAATTAGCCGGGCATGGTGGCGCATGCCTGTAGTCCCAGCTACTTGGGAGGCTGAGACAGAAGGATCGCTTGAGCCCAGGAGTCTGAGGTTGCTGTGAGCTAGGCTGACGCCACGGCACTCACTCTAGCCTAGGCAACAAAGTGAGACTCTGTCTCAAAAAAAAAAAAAAAAAAAAAAGGGACTAGTGGAGGTAGTGGTGAAAGAAGAGATAATGAGAAACTGATGGGTATTGTAGTCAGAGGGTTAATGTGGGCTATGGTGGCATGACCATCTGGGAATTAATGGGGACAGTGAGCAAAGAGAGGGTACTAGTAAGCTGTTGTGGGTGTGATCATCCAGTGATCTATCAGTGAGGGCACAGTTGGGCAGTGAGGGGAGAATGGGGAATTGACGTGTGATCATCAGGGAGTAACAGGAGTATGTGTTAATGAAGGGGTTACAGGGTAGTGGAATGGTCTGTGAGGGGTCAGTTGGAGGGCTGAGTTAATGAGGGCTGATAAATCAGTGATTGAGTGTTTATGGGGAGCTAAAAGGACATGATCCTCTGGGCATTAACAGGGGCTGATAAGTACATATTAATAATAAAGGAATTACTGGGTACCTGATCATTTGAGGGATTAATTGGGAATGGGGGGGACAGAGAGATCAAGGGGATGGGAAGTGCAGTGAGGTAGCATTAGGATAATGGAGATGAAAAGAGATTAGTTGGGGACTAATAGGGCTATATGAATCTAGGGGCAATGGTGACAACTGGGGAGATGTCACTGACATGTAAATAGGGATGAGGTGGGCAGGAAAGGGTTGATAGTGGGAGTTACAGGGTTTAATGTGTAGAGTGTGGTTGACAGTGATGGGAAGTACACAGGGTCACTGATTGGTCATCTGTGGGATAAGTGTTGGGTTTGTGGGGTCTTTAGTGGAAGCTATGAGGTAAGTGATGGAGGAAGCGGGATCTGTGTGATGAGCAACGGAGCCTGAGAGCTCAGTGATAGGGTCCTCTGGGCCCTATAAAGTCAGTCGGGTCAGTGCCAGGACTTCAGTTGGCTCATCTGCTGAGCAAACCATCACATGGGTCAGATGAGCCCAGTTTGGTTTGTGTGGTTCTCTCCACCCTGCAGAGGTAGGTGGTAGGTAGCCCATTTAGCTGGTTACTGATACTGGGTGGCGTCAGCTGACTGTCAGCAGGTCCTTGGGCAAACTGTGTGTGAGATGGGATGGACATCAAAGGACAAGCAGGATGTCTACTACCGCCTGGCCAAGGAGAATGGCTGGCGTGCCCACAGCACCTTCAAGCTAGTACAACTTGATGAAGAATTCCAGCTCTTCCAAGGTCCCTAAATGGCAGGTGAGTCACTGGGAAGTTGGTGGGGGGTGGGCACAGGAGGCAGACAAGTGGACTGGGTCTGCAGAGCTTCCTGTGGTAGGTGGGCTGACTCAAATGGGCACCTGGGGCAGGGAGACAGGCAGGAAGATGGGCAGAACACCCAAGGGAAGTTGGGCACCTGGCAGTGGAGAGATGTGGGTGCTCCCCAGAGGAGAGGGGTGAACTTTGCAGGGTCCCCAGGTTAGAGAAGGTAGTGCAGCTGACCAGTATACTTTTGCTGTGTATGCCCAGGTGTGACACGGGCAGTTGACTTGTGTGCAGCCCCGGGCAGCTGGAGCCAGGTGCTGAGCCAGAAGATTGGGTAAGTGTGGGGATCCCCAATGGGAGGTCCAGGAGGGTGGGGGCCCAGGAGTGAAATTGGGCTGACATGGACCATGTTCTCCACAGGGGCCAGGGGTCTGGCCACGTGGTGACTATGGACCTGCAGGCTATGGCTCCACTACCAGTTGTGTTACAGATCCAGGGAGATAGCACCCAGGTGAGAGCATGGCTGAGGGAATTGGGGTGTATCCTGGGTGAAGGCCCCCACTGGGGGCTATAGAAAGTAGAAGAGAGACAGAGTGATAGCCACAGAGACTGGGAAAGACAGAGAACAATAGCAGAGAAACAGAGCCAACAGGTCATCATCACAGAGAGGCAGCAAAAAATGATGGCACTGGGTCCCTAGAGTTGGAGCCAGGTCTTAGATGGGCAGTGTCTGAGAATTTGGCTGACCCAGGGGCTGTGGGCCAAGGCCATGGGCAGGTGGGGTTCAAGGACAGCAGTGGGAGGCTCTGGGGCCACTCATCCTCCCTCTCTCCATAGCTCTCCACTGCCAAGGAGATCATCCAGCACTTTGAGGGCTGCCCTGTGGACCTAGTAGTGTGCGACGGGGCTCCTGATGGTAAATAGCCGCAGGGGGGTGGGAGGCCAGGCGCAGGCCCCTATGTGTGTCCTTCTCTGTATCTCCCACCTCGGTTGACTTCTTCTGCCTCTTCAGTTACTCCCTTCCCCTTCTTCCATACCCAGCCTTCCCCACATCTGGCAACTTCTACCTACCTCTGTCTTCCTCCCCTGCATATCCCACCCTTTGAGTTTTGTGTCTGTTGTTCACTCTTCCCTCCTCTCATCCCTCTGCAAACGTCCATTTCCACGGTAGTGTTTATTCATCATTTCAGCCAGCCATTCAACACACATTTACTGAGCACCTGTTGTGTTGGGAAAACATTTGTGAATAAAATTCCGCCAATGTCTGACCTCATGGAGTTGATGTTCTGGTGGGAGGAAATGGAAAAGAAAATAGACAATTGTGCCAGTGGCATGTTAAAAGGCGCTAGGTACCAGAGGGAAATCAGTGAGCAGGGCCAGAACAGGGGTACCTGTTGGGATTTTAAATACAGTGGATGAGGAAGGCCTCACTGATTTGACAGCCAAGACCTGCGGGAGGTGAGGAAGTAAGTCATGGGTATGTCTGGAGGAAGACTGATCCAGGTGAAGTTCCAGCCCATGTGAAGGAGGGTGCTTGGTATGTGTGAGGAACAGTGAGGAGATCAGGGTTGGAGCAGAGTGAGGGAGAGAGTGGTAGGAGGTGAGGTTGGAGAGGTAACAGGGGACAGGTCCTAAAGGCCTTCATGGGCCATGGTGAGGACATTAGCTTTTTCGCTGAGATGAGAGTTCGGAGAAAACCATGTGAACACAGGGGGACTGTGTCTGGCTCGGGCTGTAACAGGACCCCTCGAATTGCTGTGAGCCGTCTGAGGGATGCAAGGGTGGAAGCAGGGGCCCAGGGAACGAGGAGGCCGCTGCAGCGGTCCAGACAAGTGATGACAGTGGAGACAATAGCGGAGAGAAGAGAGTCAGGTCAGGACATCTTTTTTTTTTTTTTTTTTTTTTTTGAGACAGAGTCTCACTTTGTTGTCCAGGCTAGAGTGAGTGCCGTGGCGTCAGCCTAGCTCACAGCAACCTCAAACTCCTGGGCTCAAGCGATCCTCCTGCCTCAGCCTCCCGAGTAGCTGGGACTACAGGCATGTGCCACCATGCCCGGCTAATTTTTTATATATATATCAGTTGGCCAATTAATTTCTTTCTATTTATAGTAGAGACGGGGTCTCGCTCTTGCTCAGGCTGGTTTTGAACTCCTGACCTTGAGCAATCCGCCCGCCTCGGCCTCCCAAGAGCTAGGATTACAGGCGTGAGCCACAGCGCCCGGCCTCAGGACATCTTTTGACAGTAGATTTGCTAGTGGCTTGAATGTGGGTATGAGGAGAGGACATGGGGCATTGTTGTCAAAGGTAACTAAGGTTTTGGACCTGAACAACTAGAAGCATCAGATGAGATGGGGAAGTCCATGGGAGGAGCAGCGTGGGGAAGGAAGGTCAGGAGTTTGGTTTGGACATGTTGAAGATAGAGAGTGTGAACCTGGATTTCAGAGGAGCAGTCTGGGCTGGAGGTGGGAATGATAATGATGCTTGTGCATGTGGTGGTTTGGGAATTAAAATGAGTTCCTAAGGATTAGGAACTCAGAATGGTATCTAGATGGCAGAGAATGATATGCATCCAGAAACTTTACAGTAACAGAGCCTGGGAAATGTTTGTAAGCTTCTCATCTCTCTGGTACAAGAAGATGCATAGAATCAGACGGGACCCCATAACGCTGTTCCTCTCACCGCAGTAACTGGCCTCCATGATGTCGATGAGTATATGCAGGCCCAGCTTCTCCTAGCCGTGAGTAACCCTGGCCTCCCCTGACCTACCTGGGCCCCCTCCTGGCTGTCTCCACCTCAGCCTTAGCCATCTGTCCTGCCCCCAGGCTCTGTGGAGACACATTCGAGGGAGGCAACATGGATTAGAATGTCAGAACAGGGAGTTTTAGAAGGGGTGATTATGGAGGACCTCCCTGAGGAGGTGATCGGAACCAAATGACAGATTTCTGGTGGAGGCATGAGAGACTAGCTGGTGGATCTGTGGAGAGGACTTAGCACTTTGCTGTAGACTGTCCCCAGGCATTTCAGCCTTGTCCTCAGTCTTATCTTGCCCTTTTTCTAAGACTCAGATTGCAACCAGCTATCGGGGGTCCTCAAACTTTTTAAACAGGGGGCCAGTTCACTGTCCCTAAGACCATTGGAGAGCCGGACTACAGTTTAAAAATACTATGAACAGGCCGGGCGTGGTGGCTCACGCCTGTAATCCTAGCACTTTGGGAGGCCAAGGCGGGCGGATTGCTCAAGGTCAGGAGTTTGAAACCAGCCTGAGCGAGACCCCGTCTCTACCAAAAATAGAAATAAATTAATTGACCAACCAAAAATATATATACAAAAAAAAAAATTAGCCGGGCATGGTGGCGCATGCCTGTAGTCCCAGCTACTCGGGAGGCTGAGGCAGTAGGATCGCTGAGCCCCGGAGATTGAGGTTGCTGTGAGCTAGGCTGACGCCACGGCACTCCCCTAGCCTGGACAACAAAGTGAGACTCTGTCTCAAAAAAAAAAAAAATACTATGAACAAATTCCTCTGCACACTGCACATATCTTATTGAAGTAAAAAAACAAATTGGCAAAAACACCCGCATGTGGCCCACAGGCCATAGTTTGAGGACACCTGAGCTAGATGGTTCTACCCGCGTCATTGTGCCTTTTGTGACCTGTGGGGACCTGAGTGCCTATGATTTGGACCAAAGTTACCTACTGGATGTGAGTGTCTGACCAACAGTTAGGTGGGGGGTGTGGGGAGGGTGTCCTGGGTTCTCAGGTCCTTGCCATCTCCTCACCTCTCACCTCTTATGCCCCTGCAGCTAGAGGATAACTCAAAGTACAAGTATATCCCACAACACAGCTCCCCATCTCGCCACCATACCAGGAGGCTTGCACGTTGATGAAGAGGGGTAGCCGGCCACGGAGATCCACCCCCAGGACTGCCCCATCAACAGAGTAGACACCTAGCCCCAGCCCCTGGCCACCCCTCAGCCCCACACCCTGCTGGCTCATGAGGTCTGGAAACATGGCTTTGAGCTCACATTTTTTTTTTTTTTTTTTTGAGACAGAGTCTCACTTTTGTTGCCCAGGCTAGAGTGAGTGCCATGGCGTCAGCCTAGCTCACAGCAACCTCAAACTCCTGGGCTCAAACGATCTCCTGCCTGCCTCCCAAGTAGCTGGACTACAGGCATGTGCCACCATGCCCGGGCATTTTTTTAATATATTTTTAGTTGGCCAATTAATTTCTTTCTATTTTTAGTAGAGACGGGGTCTCACTCAGGATGGTTTCGAACTCCCAACCTCGAGCAATCCGCCCGCCTCGGCCTCCCAGAGTGCTAGGATTACAGGCGTGAGCCACCGCGCCCGGCCTGAGCTCACATTTGACCCCTTCACAGTTTGCCTCCAAATCACATGGTTTCTGGGGCCAAAATTCTCTTCCCTGCCTCCCAATAGCTATAAAAATCAATAGGTAAAACCAAGCATGAAGAATGGAAAAGTTCAGCAAAATGTCTGAGTCCTTTTTTTACAGACATGAGCCACCACGCCCGGCTTCCTATATGTAGTATCTTTAATATTAAAAAGGTCCTATAGGGTCAACCTCCTACATGTAGCATCTTTAATATTAAAAAGGTGCTATAGGGCTAGGCATGGTGGCTCACGCCTGTAATCCTAGCACTCTGGGAGGGCGAGGCCGGAGGATTGCTCGAGGTCAGGAGTTTGAGACCAGCCTGAGCAAGAGTGAGACCCCTCTCTACTAACAATAGAAAGAAATTAGCTGGACAACTAAAAATACATAGAAAAATTAGCCGAGCATGATGGCACATGCCTATAGTCCCATCTACTCGAGAGGCTGAGGCAGGAGGATCACTTGAGCCCAGGAGTTTGAGGTTGCTGTGAGCCAGGCTGACACCGTGGCACTCTAGCCTGGGCAAAATAAAAAAAAAAAGTCCTATAAATCATAAGAAAAAACATGAGAATGGCCAATAAGCACATGAAAAGCTGCTCTCACCAGGGAAATGCAAGCTAAAACTAAAAACATTGACAACACTAAGTGTTTGGAAAGACCTGCAATAATTGGAACCATTGTACATGCTACTAGGAGCATAAAATGGTACGGCCACTGTCAAAAGCTGTCAGGCATTGTCTACCAAAGCTGAATGTATGCCAGGTCCAGTACTAGAATGTTCCTAGCAGTACTACTTATAGTACCTCCATTAAGTCATGGTATACTTGCAATGAAGAGCTACACAGCAATGAGAATGGATATCCTATAATTATACAAGATAACACCTTATAGTTACTCCTTAAGCTACACATCATATATGTTTTATGCATTTTTCTCTGTGTTACGGTTCACAATAAAAGGGGGGAAGTCACAAAAATGTTAGTAGCTTAGTGAACAGTGAATATAGTAAAAGAAAACTGGAACACATGTTTTTGTTTAAAACTTCCTTTTCCTTTGATCTTTTGGTTAGCTGGCATGCCAATAAAACTCAGAAACTGCCTGCTATCAGGAAAACCAGAACGTGGGTTGATGAACTTGTTTTCAAATATCTCATCAACGGGGCCTGAATGAACAAGCCCTGAGTAGGAATCTGCAACAACCAGCATTAAGACAACAAGGAAGGAAATACTGCAGAAGTCTGTCTCTGCTACAATGGGAATTCTTGAGTGAGGTCTTTTTTTTTTTTTTTTTTTTTTTTTTAACTAATAGGCTTGAATGAAATATAAAGATGCCAAATATTAAGATTGAGAGGGCCATAAAAGTCCTTGCTCATAAACATAATCCCTACTAATACAACGTATTGCTTGAAATCTCCACCTTGTAAGTCATTTAAATTAA